GAGATTTTCTGATGTTATCCCAGATTTTATATTAAAAAAGAAAATGCTCTAGTAACTTCTTATTTTAAAATAAATTGCGATGACTTAGCTATGCAGGTTCATAAAAATTGGTTCCCAAAGTTCATAAAAGCAGAACAGAAACCAGTAAATGGAGAACAATATTGGCAGGGTGGGAAGTGCCTTGTGGTCGTGTGATCAACATATTGACCATGGGGGATTTTCGCCGCAGCAAAACACTCTGTTGATGGAAGAAGACAACCATCAGCTGGTGGTTTATGAAAGTGTACCTTAGGTAGGTTTTCAAGGTTTGTGTACAACTGGTTCTATTGGGGTAGAGGATTTATAGTGAGCCAAAGACGCCATTGCGGACCTCTCCTCAGCTCTGATGTCGAATTCATAACATCCTGTTTCTCAGGAAGTGGCTATGAGGGGAAAGGGGAGCGGCAGTGGGACGACATTGATTGTTTTCATTGTTCAGCGAAACTCTGCGCTGACTTTCAAGGCCAAAACTAACAGCTGTGAGAGAGAGAGTCGGATGGAGGACAGAAGCCATGCGCATGTAAAGAGTGACATTATAAACACAGATGCGTGCACAGTCAAATGTGTCCTATGATCTTTTTCTTGCTCCCAAACCCTTTTCACACTTGTGCCTGTGCTCTCAGTTGCACAAACTTCTCATTGTTCCTCCAGCCTCCCAGGCTGACAGCTGCAAATTCCCTCCTGGCTGTGGTTAAACCACAATAACACACTTGCTCACACACAGTGTGTATATATATATATATATACACACACACACACTCTCGCCTGCCAAGAAATATCCATCATGGTTTATAATTCATCTTGTGCAAATGGCATTAGTGCTCATTAGTTCAATAAGATGGCCTACAGACAGGTAATGATAATATTAATGATTTTAACAAGCCAAGAATTGAGACTATGCGAGTTTATCACAAAGCTATGTAAACAGAGCAGCTTTAGAGACTTGATTAGTTTATTTTGCTGTGTTTGGGTCACAGTGACCAGTAAACCTGCCTTGAAGTGCCACAAAAGCACAGTAAACTCTGATCTCTGAGTGATTATTAGCTAGTGTCCTCCTTAGCCTGTTCCACACTGGATGAGTGGGTGGGCTGCTGTGCTGAATTGGCAGGAGACAATGCTAGGAATGCAAGATTAGCTTTTATCTTTGATTCAGCACTCCTTTCCTTATCGCCCCCAACCCCCCCCAAGCTTCACCCTCTCATTCCCTCATCTTTCCTACAAGTCCATCTGTTTTATTTGTTTCCAGCTCTTAAAAGTCTGTCTATCTCAATCTCTAAAGGATGAAATCAACCCTGTCTGGGCTGTGACCATATAAAGGCATGTGGGTAACACGACAGCAGTTTGTGATTTGCTCAGGTAGGAGGTTATGACTCTCTGTGAGTCAATGAGGTGACATCATATCGCTTCCTGGCAGCCAGCCTTATCCCACATGCAAATGCTGGTTTTGGTTCTCGTGGATTCCTTTGTCTTAGGAAACACTTAAGCCACGCCTGGTTTCCTCATCAGGTCATCCCACTTTCCCTCCCTCTTTTCCCATACTGAACACACCCCATTCTGGGATTTTATTTTATGTTTTTCTTTTTTTTAAATGTCGTGTGCTTTGTTAGTCATTATTTTGAAATTCGTACAGGAACAGACAGGCACTGCAGCTGTCAGTTTACTAGGTAAAATGAAACTGAGAAAATGATCTTACTGTGTGGTAATAGTGTGTGGTAATAGTTTTGTTTTTAATTATTTTCTGTATAAACTCATGCTGGGTCATGAAAGTCAAACGACGAGTCATTCATCATCACATCTTGAGCCCCAATGCTTGCTTTGTGCTTTGCTCTACACCTGTTATCTGAAGTGTAAATGCAGGGCCCTGTTTCTTGTTCAAACTTTCAGCTGCGTTGGTGCATGTGCGCCAGACAGTGTGACTGAAATTTAGTCACCCCCCCCACCTCGTCCAACCGGTCATGCAGGTGTGTAGCAATAGCGGGTTTATTCACCTCATGAAGAGCTGGGCCGCTGCAGAACAGGGTGTATCACCAGATAAGAGGATCTGAGTCTCCACTATCCAGTTGCTTGCCTCTGGTATAACAATGTCTCTTTTTAAGGTACAATAACAAAGGATATAGAGGGAGGGGATATAAGGCAGTTAGGAGATTTGGGAATTAATGCTCGGAGCTACAGGTAGGGTGAAAACTGATTAGAGAGAAAAGCTTGGATTAAAAAAAGGGCAAAAAGAAGAGGTAGTAAGAAGAACATATGTTAGAATCTCTAAAACCTGCTTTTGTTTAAGCTCTTTACGCTGAAAATCTATGTTATCCAACCTAGAAATAGCTGCAGGTTGTTCAACTTCCCCAGCTAGCCTCCATATTCTGGCCAAATGTTGAGTAAATACAGGGTGTGTCCAAAGGCTGAAACTACTGTATATCTGTCTCCCTGCTGCGCCTTCCTCCCCACAGAGCGAGCAAACAACCCCTGTTGACACGCTTGTACGGTATTCTCACTGTGTTGCTGATTTTTCAAGCCGATGCGTCTTCTCTAAAACACTTCTCGCCCTCTTTCCTCCACCTCTCCTTTCTTTCTCTGCAGTCCATTTCTACCTGCTTCTGGGGCTCGGTGGTTGGGTCACTTTCCACACATGAACAACTAAAGCGCCACTTCTGAACTTGGTGTGATCTCTCACCTCTTCTACCAAAACCCTGCCCACAGGTTAAGGTGTGTATTTTGGATTTTCTGTAAACCCAGTTTAAAGGCAGATGGTGCATTTTTAGTGGTCAACCCATAAGGAGAAGTGTGCAGTTCTCTTTTGGGTTAAAGGTCGTAAGTTGTGGTGTTAAGCTTCCTGTTTCAGTAAAAAAAAGCTTCATTCTCTAAGGGTAAAGGTTGTTTATATAAAGGATTTTCTATTTATCACCAGAAATTATTCTACTTGAATGTGGGGGGGAGTGACTTATCCAAGGGCAGCATTTAGCTGTTCTCTGCTCTTATCTGAAACTTTATCCATGAAATGTCTTGTGATACAAAGATACTAATACATGTTTTAAAAACTTTTCTTGGCGTCTTATTTCTTGTGTGGTATCGGACAGTGTCAAAATTTAGAGGATATCTTTGTTTATTTAATGATGGTGTATTAAACTGCATGCAGTCATTGACGTAATGTTGTGATAAAATACTACATATCCACGTTTTATGATTTAACAAACTTTTATGGTTAAGTGCTATAAACCTCTGCTACCACTTCCTCTCTGCTGCAGTTTACCAGTGAAGTTGGGATTTCAGGGTTTGGTTTTGTTTTTTGTTTTTTTCTTGTTTTAAACCTTTGAACACGGTAAATTTTCCCACGCAGAATTTAAATTGGTTGGCCATGCAAATATATTTATTTTAGCCAAAAAAGACATTTATTTTTTTAAATCAGTTTTCCTCAATTCATCTCTTTTTTTTTTTCCTTCCTTGTATTTTGCAAAAGTTCTCTGTTACAAAGTTTTCTGCCTGCAGGCTGACCAGTCGCTGGTACTGGTTTTCTAAGCAGTCTCTCATTCAGTTGAGCCCCATAGGATGTGACTGACAAGGAAAATGAATCAACTGCTCTGTCTTGTATTTGTCACAAAGTGCTCGGAAATGTGACAGAGTGCAAGAGGAACACCTAATTTTATTTATTTATTTTTTGTCTGTGTGTGTAGAATCCTTGTCTGTTGCTGTTGATGACGTGTGAATATGTAGGAAATATTGCTCATAGTTGTGACATTTTGGGGGGGGAGATGAATGAAATGGACATGACAGGAAGTCTCTTCCTGTAAAATTCTAGTGTATTGGGAAAGTTCTCTGGTTGACGTTCAGTTGGAGGCGTGTCTTTACGCTAACCGCTGTAATTTCATCACTGAAGCCAAATCATGAAGAGAACTCTTGTGAAATCCCGTAGCTCTCTAAAAAAAAAACCTCTGTCTTATTAGTTACCAAGCAAGATCTGAGGATAACCACCTCCCCATTCAAATCATGCATCAGCTGGATCTCGCTGTACTCTGTTTGGAGAGTGTGTGTTTTTGTTATACACCCTCTCCCACTGCTGTAGCCGGTTTTAGGGCTGTATGCATGTGTGTAACGCCCCCTTCTCTCCCCTTGGGGCTGTGTAGTGTGTATGGAGCAGTGCGAGAGCGCAGCGGCTCTGCTGGAGTCGGTCAGGGAGCAGGAGGTGCAGTTTGAACAGCTGACCAGGGCGCTGGAGGAGGAGAGGAGGAGAGTGGGCCTCCCCGCCACTAGCCCCTCAACCTTGGGTCGTCCCCTCCCTCACACACAGGTAACTCCCCAAAGAACCCAAATATTCCCATCTTGAGTCATTTCAACACCTCTACGTCTTTGATTGTATGATCATTATTCCCTCCATCCAACCCTTGGCGTGAGTTCATGCATCGTTTGTCTCTTGACATTCATCCGTCCATCACTCATCCCCTATCTCCTTGGTCCCACCTCCTCCCATCCAGTGCTCAGCAAGGGCGTTTCTGTGCGTCATTCTTGGAACTTTTTTTTTTTTTTAGATCTTTCTTTATGGACTCTGATAACATATGTCTGACTCGTTAACTCTCATCTGCAAATTTATCATTACGTGCCTTCAAAACCTATCAGCATGCCTACAGTGTCACTCACCGGACGCACTCTGACTCACATTCATTTTTCATTCTCCCCTGCTGTGGAATTTCAGTCATTTTCTTATCCCTTCACAGCATTGTGCATGTGTTGCATAGTCCTCTAAACAAGTATACTTCTCCAAGTTTTTGTTTTGTTTTTTAAGATCACAGATTCTTTTCTTTTATGATCATGTCGCATCCTCAGTGTTCATTTGTTTTAAACTCTACTAGATGAATGGCTGTTTAAAAGTCGATATTCATTTCTGCTGTATGCATCAGTCTTAACTGTCTGTGTGTTGGTGCTGCATGTTGTATCTATTAGACTTGCAAATTTGTGTGTTGTACGTTAGAAATTGTTATGGCTGCTCCACAGAGCTTCCAGGTTTGGCAGGAAGCTGACAGGTTGGTTTAGGATGGCTTTTCAAAATGACAGTGGATACATTTTGACCATTTGGCCATTAACTGACACATTTTAGCTCTGATGCTGTCAATATGTCATTATATCTGACAACTGAGAGCACTTATTTTGTTGTCATTTAGCAGATTTGCTAAATGACAATAATGGATTTTGTGCAGATGTTATAAGACGTTACATTTTCTTTTTCAAATAAATTAAAAAAAGAGGGACTATTATAAGTAGGTATTTTTTTACATTTATTTAAAGCTTTGTAGAGGTTTAGCTGTGACTCCCACTTGTTTTGTTTTCCAGACTAATAATTTATGTGGTCCCACTGTTATCATGTGCCGGTTTTCTTTACCATAGCGCTTAACTATCACAGTAGCAAGTTTGAGCAGTTAGAAAATAATGGACCTGTTTTTGTTTGTTTGATCAAGTCACACTTTTACAGTAGAGGAGAAATGTTGGCACACTTTTGTAAGCAGTTCTTAAATGTTTTCCTTCCTTTTTCAGGGCGTGCTGACATTGATTAGATCTCATGTTTTGTCTTATGAAAATCCTTGAAAGCCTGAAGGCTACAAAAACTTTGTAATAGCTGTCAATGCTTTATGATAAAGGCACACAGTATCTGTTCTGCGATTATGGGTTCAAATGCATACCAGAGTTGTTTGTAAATCAGATGGTATTAAAGGAAGGACCAGCTCTAGAGGAAGTTTGTGCTTCCTTTACGGTGTATGCACAGTCTGCTCTTCCAATCTTCATATCGCTTTTTAAAAAAACAAAAACACAGCCCTGCTTCCTTGTGGGCACACAATAAACCGCAGTAGCATTGCAACAAAGTGGAAGAAATTGTAAAAGGTCTTTAAATATTTTTCTGGTCGGCAGTATCAGTAATACTGAAACTGAGTGTCGAAACGCTAAACAGCTGCTGATAAACGCTTCCAAAATAGCTCAGTTGTGCTGCGCTTGCATGTGATTGCAACTAACCGAGGTAGTTGCATTGCTAGAGTGTTACTGTGGTTTAGAAAGAAAGTGTCCCAAGTCGTACACTGTGACAGCCTTTGATTATATAAGAGTTTAGTGCAGGAGGAAACGAGGTGTGAGGATGACTGGCTGCATTCCAAAATGTCCTCCTTCGTGTCTGGCAGTGATTCACAGACCATAAACATGCAGGGACGGTTTGGTCAGCACTGAATGTGCTTCAGCAGCAGTAATATCATCTGAGTGGTTAAAAGTAGACAGCACAGACTACTGGGAACTGTGCCTTTACCCTCAATCTTGTATATTGTTTCAGGGTAATAGTATATTTAATTTTTATTTTTTTTCCTGTGTATTTCACAGTCATGTTTTCCTCTTTTATCCCAGAACGGGCGTTTAGGGGATGCAGACATAGAACGACTGAAGCTGACAGACACGTATATAAACGGCACACAGGTATGTGATTGTACAAAGTTAAGCACATTTAAAAAAATAATGTTCTTTTATCTATGCTTAAATATTTACACGTGTGGTGTCTTTGCTACAGTACAGGATGGTGGACCCTGCACATGGCGCTCTAGATGAGAGCTACACGCCAGAGGATGAATCTCAGGAAGTGCATTCAGTCTTTTCCGAAGAAGGAACCACGCGGCGGATGGACAATGGGGTATGTTAATCTAGCGCATGCTTCATTTTCACCGATGATATCAGACGTTATTGAATTTTTTAATTTAGCCATGAACATTTTAAAACACTGGACTGATCTCACTATGCCACAGATGAAGAAACCGATATCGCGCACAGTCCTGCCTACTGAGTCATTGTCCATCGATGGGGGCTTGTCAGTGCCTGGTATGGGCGTCTACAGCGCCACATTGGACCGTCCTTACAGGCAGCCTGGTGGAATGGACTACCCCACTGCTACAGTACCCAGAAACTACCACTATGGTCCTGTGGGTGGTTACGATGACTATCGCGGAGGTCTGCCATCAGAGGCCTACGCTAGTCTGAGCAGGGGTTCACACATGGATGATCGCTACAGGTGATTGATGCTTCTAGACAGTGTCTTGACGTTTAATGGTGACTGCTTTGCCCTACATTAAAGCATACACGTCTTTACAAGCCACAGTTTAACGGAAGTTTCCATCATTGCATACAGGGGAATGACTTCCTGTTTTGCCTCATTAATTATTTAACTTTTTAGCCTTTGTTAATACTAATAGACATGTTTTTCCACACTCAATAATTCAAAGCTAAATATAATTCCCCCCCCCTTTTTTTTTAAGCATGCTTTTTTTTGTAGTGCATATTCTAAATAATCATTCAGTCATGTGTGAAACTGACATGAGCAGAATTTATAGTTGACAGGCCTTGAACTTAACACCATAATAACATGATGGTAACATATAGCCAGTCTATAAACATCTGTTCCGCATTTGTCCACAGACCATGAAGTGTCAGGCAGAAGCCGAGATGTGACATCAGATAACACGTGTCGATCTTTTCCACATTAGCAGCACCTATCCTGCTATCTCTGTCAATCTAACACTGTCCTTTCTTTGGAAAAGAAAGGATTAAGCTAACCCGACTCATCACTTTCATAACTGCCATCTTTACTCAGGCCAATGGATGGCTACAGGACTCTGGACTCTGGCTACCGGGCTCCGAGCCGCCAGCAGCTCGACCCGTACGCAGCACAGCCCCAGGTGGGTCGGGGAATGAGGGCCATGGGCTCTGCGATGGAGATGCGGTATGGGCACGGTCACTATGGTTTGGAGGATGATCAACGTAGCATGGGATATGATGAATATGGAATGGGGCCTCCACCTATGCACCCTGGAGGCTATGGTACCATGCCACGCCTGGGACCGGGGCCTGGGGGTATTGATAGACGAAGACTGAGGTAAAATAAAAACGTACTGTTCTGCACTAAGTCAATTCACAACATTACATAGTTTATTTGATAAATAAACACTCTTGATAAATGCTTCTGTCCACTTTTACAGGAGCTGCGAGGACACTTTGGACAGTGACATAGGCAGCGTTGAGCCATACGCCTGGGCCGTCCCGATGACAATGGAGAGAGGAAGCATGGCTTCTCTGGACAGCACATTGAGAAAACCTCCTACTTCGTGGAGACAGCCAGAGCTTCCGGAGGTTATCGCCATGTTGAATTACCGCCTGGACCCTGTCAAGACCAACGCTGCTGCCTTCCTCCAGCACCTCACATTCAAAAATGACAAGGTAAAGCAAACTCTGCAATTGTGTTTCTGGTAGTTCTCTCTTTGTATGCTGAGTTGTAGTGTTTCTTCTGCTAATTTCTTTTTTTTTAAAGGAAGTATCTAATTATGTTTGTAGGTTAAATCAGAGGTGCGCCGCCTAAAGGGCATCCCAGCTTTGGTGTCGATGCTGGACCATCCTAGTAAGGATGTGCATCACTCAGCCTGCGGGGCTCTGAAGAATATTTCATATGGACGAGACCAAGACAACAAAATCGCCATCAAGAACTGCGATGGCGTACCTGCTCTGGTTAGATTACTGAGGAAAACGCACAACCAGGATCTCACAGACACTATCACAGGTATCACTGTTATGTAAAATACTTGTTTTTTGTTCTTTTTGATGTATGTAGCTCTTAAATGTTACTACTATTTGGAAGATTTGTGTGGTGGTTATATTTTCTTATTTTAAAGGCTCAACTGTCTCTTTATTTCATTCTATATTATCCCAGGCACCTTGTGGAACCTTTCATCCCACGATTCGGTTAAGATGGAGATTGTGGACCACGCCCTGCATGCCCTAGTTGACGAGGTGATTGTTCCACACTCAGGCTGGGAGAGAGGGAACAGCGGAGGAGGAGAAGAAAGCTGCAAACCACGCCATATGGAGTGGCAGACCGCCTTGACCAACACTGCTGGCTGCCTTAGGTATGCAAGAGATCAATGGATGCAAAGCAGAGGAAGTTGAAGAAGGAGAAAAGGAAGCTTATTTTAAGGAGAAAACATGCAATTATGTGCTTAACTTCTCTCCCTTTACTTCAGGAATGTGAGTTCAGAACGCAGCGAGGCCAGGCGAAAGCTGAGGGAATGCACGGGGCTGGTGGATTCACTTATGTACATGGTCCAGTCACAGATCAACTGCAAAGATGTGGACAATAAGGTTAAAAATTCACTTATAACTGTCCCTTTTTTCGCAAGACAGTTGTGCGATTTAAAAAAATAAATGAATAAATAAAAATTGGAGTTTGAGCCTTTTGTCCCCATTCACCCCTTCTTCCTATAGCTGGTGGAGAACTGCGTCTGCCTTCTGAGGAATCTGTCCTATCAGGTTCACCGTGAAATCCCCGGCTCTGAACAATACGCAGAGGCCATACCTGTCAACCAGGGCCCAGCTCCAGCCAGTAAGGGCGGCTGCTTTGGCTCTAGAAAAGGCAAAGGTTGGTGTTTTACACCTACATTGTGTCAGATTTGTGGTTGAGTGAGTGGCAGTTACTGGTGGGGTTGAGCTTTTTTGGTGGCAGAAGACCCTTTCCCTGTTTTTCACACTCTACTGTTTCCCCCCCTTTCCTTTTCTCCCTCCTTATTTCTTCCCACCCTATTTCACTTCTTCCTCTCTGTGCTCTGTTTAGATGAGTGGTTTTCCAAAGGTAAGAGTTTGCGTTTGGTGTTCTCACGAACCTGCGAAGCTGTCCATCCCTCTCATCACATTATTTTACTAATGCATATTGAAACACCTGGAGAAATAACGTTGAATTTACACGCATTCCACAGGCATGATCACACATAGCATTGCATGCTGATGGTGCTTGTTCCACTGGTTGCATGTTGGACCAGATAACAAGACTGAGAATATGAAAATGGTTATACCCCCCCTCCCAACATCACTATATCTGTCTTATCTGCTGTTTCTTTTTTTTTTCTGCAGGAAAGAAGGATGTAGATGATGGAAGTGCAGATATGGTTGATATTCCAAAGAGAACGACACCTGCCAGAGGTACTGTTTGTGTGTCTGCTTCTCTTTCAGATGATTTATAGTTGATCAGGGAGCTTGTGTTCATATAAAAGCATACAACTCTCTCTCTCTCTGCCAACTTTAGGTTATGAGCTTTTGTTCCAGCCTGAAGTGGTTCGTGTTTACACGTCACTGCTCAAAGAGAGCCAGAACCCATCGGTGCTCGAGGCTGCTGCCGGCGCCATCCAGAACCTGTGTGCTGGCCGGTGGACTGTTAGTATCATTTCTTATCAGTGATTCAGAGCTGGCTCTCTGCTATAAAAGGCTAATGTTTAATTTTGAACTTTAAAAGTGCATGAACCCTGAATAGTTGGGTCTGTCTTTGTTTTTATGTTATTAGATGACAACTAAAGTTGATCTGTTCTTTGTGCTTTTCATACAGTATGGTCGGTATATCAGGGCAAAGGTGCGTCATGAGCAGGGACTCCCCATGATGGCAGAACTGCTGGCTCATGGCAATGATCGTGTGGTCCGTGCAATGTCTGGAGCTTTGAGGAATCTTGCCATTGACAACCGAAACTGTGAACTGCTAGGTAAGATTGTTTCTTCTTAGCTGTTATCTATTATCTTAGCATCTGTGTCATTTTTTTTTTTCTTCTAAACATTCATTGCACTTGGGTTAAGAGTAAGAGTTTCTCTTGCAGGTTTGCATGCAGTGCCTCACCTTGTGGCCAACCTGCCTGGAGCCCAGAATCAGTCTGGGCGTAATCTATCCGAGGAGACAGTTGTGTCTGTACTGAGCACGCTCAGTGAGGTGCTAGGCAACAGATTGGAGCCAGCAAAGGTCCTTCGAGAGAAACGAGGCATCGAGAGCCTGGTGCTAATCAACAAAGATGGGTAAGTGTTCTCCGAGTGTAGAAAAGGTGCTTTGCGTGTGTGTGTGTGTGTGTGTGTGTGTGTGTTATATATATCAGAGATGATAACAGCTCAAACCCTTATCTCTGGTTATCTTTCAGCAAGCGCTCTGATCGCGAAGTGCGGGGGGCGAGCCAGGTCCTGCAGCTCGTCTGGGCTCACAAGGAACTGCGCCGACCTCTTGAGAAAGACGGCTGGAAGAAAACGGACTTCATGGTTAACATTAACCCAGGCACCACTACCACTAACGGCCCGAGCACTCGAGCTAACGGCACCTATGAAGACAGCACTACACCCCTCCTGGACAGAGGTGAGCAGGGAAAGTATTTACATTAAATTTTGCAGGAGGGTTATTTATGAAGAGTTTTACAGCTTAACTCATGAATTGTTTTTCTTTGTGTCAGGGGAAAAGAGGGACATGATTCCCCTGAATGACATTGGCCCTGGTTAGTAGATTTCTTTTGTTTTTGGGGGGTTTTGTTCTGCCTCAAGATTAAATCTTTAGCAAATTTTAACCTGTTTTCATCTTCCTTCAGAGGCCTACTCTACACTGGACCAGAAAGAAAGGAGACACACTCTGGATGAGACCACAGACACTTTACCGGTACTTCAAGTCACTGTTAACATGTTGGATTGCTGGCTTAATGACACTAATCCCTAACCTCCTGCACAGCTCTGAATATTTCCTGATTGTAACCTTTTAAAACCTCACGATTATTGACACACATTTTCTCACACTCATTTCCTGTCCGCCTTCTTTCTTTCTGTCTTTCTCGGCTCCTCTCTCAGCGAGGGGTGTATGGGGGCAGAAAGGGCTCCCTGCCTCTATTGGACTCCTACGATGGTTAGCCCTCCCCCATCCCCTCTACCCCCCTCTGCATGTAACAGCATGGTATGTCCAACTGACCTCTATTCCTGCATGAACTTTATGAACTCCTTTTTTTTTCTCTAATAACTGAAAACCTGAGTGAAACCTGGTCCAAGTCTGATTGTGAACTAAAACAGGCAGAGGTGTCGTTGTACTGATGCTTAAATATGAGATACCCTGATGTGTTGTGTATTCATGCTGGTATAGTATGCTGCTAGGTGTTCCTTGTGCATTGTCCTCTGTCATTGTAAATCCGAACCCCGGGCTGATCATTAAATAATAACATTTAGATCCTCAGAATAATAACTGTTTATGCATTAGTGTTGTCACAATATCACAGTTTTAAAAGTTACGTACAGTCCTTTTAATACAAAACCAAAGTTCGGTGTCAGTTTTCTACCCGTTTGCTGTACATGATCTCATGGGACTGTTTGGTACAAATGGCATGAAACTTCAGGCCCATTTTGTACCTTATGCGTGCATTTATTTTGTTAAATGCCATACAAAAAAGTTACTGGTCACATTTGTTGTTCTTGGCAAGAAATGGCACATGAAAATCAAAACGATTCTGATGAAATTGATGATTCCCAAAGCAGTTTTGCTGTGACAGCTACTCTAATCTTTGTACCCCTCAAAGTCCTTTACAATCAGCTGCTGGAGTGGATTTAAGAATGTCGGGAAGTGTTAATGCTTTTGTCATGTTGTGAAATCTTTGTCTGGTTTTTCGGAGATCCACTGTTGTGGGTTGTTATTTGTGTGTGAGAGCACACTCTTGTGGTTGTGTCGGCTACTACAATAACAGACACCCAAGAATAGAAATGGGTTTCATTGATTTCTTTGAGTTTGTGAGGAAAGTAGTGGCAAAAAGTGCTATTTCTTAACAGCTTTGTTTGGATTACTTTGTAAAATGTTCCTGACTGCATGACCAGAACGGTGAGGGTTTTAAATAAACATGTTTGACAGTTAAGACACGTAACAAATCACACACAGAGCAGCCAGGTCACTTGTTTAGAGTCGTTAATGGATGATTGACTTCAGCACAGACTTCAGTTTATTATGGAATAGTTTTATGTGCAGGGCAGCAGGCCAGGAACTAGAATCTAATTTAACTAAACTAAAGTGTGATGTGATTATAGTAGCCTCCTGTTGAAAGGTCGTTTACTGTGACAACACTAGTGTGTAGATTGCCATACTTATACCACACAAGTCTTTGTGTTGCCTCCTTGTTTGATGTCTAAATCAGCCACATATCTTTTGTACTTGTGTTTTTTTTTTTTGTTTTAATCATTGTGTTTTCGTCTCTTCCTCCAGAAAAACTGATAGTTTGCATCACCCAGACTGGGCCGTCCCTGC